CGTGCCCGCGCTCGCCCTCGCCGCCCACGCCGGCCCCGCCCCCCTCGGCCTGCGCCCGCGCTCCGCCGCCCCCGGCCCCGGCGAGCTGCTTGGCCGCAGCAGCGCTCCCAGGTAGTTACTCGCGCTACTTTCCTTCAACGATGGATTGAAGAGATGAAGGTATTAGTTACGAAATCGGCCTCTACGTTTTATGAATAACGCCAATCTCTGGAAAATCAGTCATGCCTTCGCAACCTTCTCAATAATTTGCGTTACAACTCTCTCGGTAGTTTCTGATATCGCCTGTGATACATCTTCACCTGTTTCAGTCATATAATTAGAATTTTGGGAGAAAATCAACAGACAGAAGTTCAGGTCTTTAAGAGAAAATCTATTTCTATTTTGCGGCAGTGAAGATGTGTTTGAAATGTCATCAGTGTTCACTGCGATATTTTGCTTTCAACTTTTTATTGTGCCAGAGAGGAAGCAGGGGGGTCTTCGTTCAAGAAACGTTGCGCGATTAATAATGAGAACAAAGTTTAGCAATTCCGATACTACGACACATTCTCATCAGGGTGGGGAACTTGGCTGCGTTTGTGGTTCTCTGTTAAAGAGGTGTAGACGACCACCCGGGCTCTTGAGTTTCGCGGCGACACTCATGTCGATAGCTTCAACATTGAGGAAGTGAGTAGGCTCCTGATTGCCAGGCTTGGCTGGTAACACACCAGTCGGGTCATTAGCGCGTCGACCTTTGGGCAGGAATGAGTGAAGGAGATTCTTCGAAATATTTTGGAATCCACACATAGAAGTCCGGCAGGAACTCGATTCCACCGCCAGGTTGTCTAGATTTTGGCGATACACACGTCAATAGCCGAAAGGTTTAGGCAGTGAGGAGACGGGAAGGAGTCCCCAAGCCGCTCGAACAAACGTTCTGGTAGTCCCCTGTTGGGCTCTCGACTTCGTCGTGGCTGTTGCCCAAAACTCTGGGAATAGATGTGGGATTCGTCCCGGTGTATTTGAATGGCGCATTGTATAGACTCCGATACTAGGCTTGAACGCTAGGAGCTCTGAGCTGGCAGTGCGACCCGTCGTAGGCATTGTATGGAGTGGTTACCGAGAAGGAAAACTGCGTTATAGAGGAATCCAGATACCAGCACAAGAGCGTTCTTGTGCGCCTGCGGTGGGGTGCGGGTAAGGGCCAAAGACCAGGTGCCCGTCCCTAGGTGGTTTTCTCGTGGAAAAGTACTAATGCGAAGTAGAAACACTGCATTTCACACTCCTTCGATACATCACCAAAATATTTTCACCAGAAAAGGTGACACTGGAGAAAAATTGCGAAGGCTAAACGCTTTCATGTCGCCTGTGGATTGACATCAGTGGCAGTTGTCAAAGGCTTTTGATTGCGCGCAATCCACAAATAAGATAGATACGGGAAATTTCATATAAGTCATTAGATTTTTTTAAAACATCGATGTTTCTGAACAAGTATTTCGATGTTATAATATCCATATTTCATCTCAAAAATATCTACGTTTTAGGGGGGACTATACCACGAATACCGTCCATGTTAAATTTGCTGTTATTGTCGTACCTTTTCTAAAAAATCGATATATAGAAAATTTTGATATTTCACACACTTACAAATAAATCCTTTGTTAATACTTTCATATTTTAATACTTTGTTAACACTTTTTTCTAATTTTATTAAAAATATTTAATACTTTATTTCAATTATAACTTTCCCGTATTTTTTTCAGCATTTTTGGACAAACATGTTTTATTTTTTTATTATTGAAGAATGTTTATACAAAACAGTAAATTTACTGTCAATACTATAAAGTATATATCCAGTATGTTTCAATAAATTGTGAATAATAGTTTCTTCGAA